ATCATGGCTCAATGTAGCCTCAACCTCCCAGGCTCATCCAATCTTCCCACCTCAGCTTGCCAAATAGCTGGAACTACAGGCATGCGCTACCTTGCCCTGCTAATTTATTTTCTTGATTTTTTTGCAGAGACAGAGTCCCACTAGGGTCCCCAAGCCAGCAGCTGTGCTTTCTATGTCCCAGTCACAGCCATACTTCTCTCTGGTAGCTCTTTTCACCAACATCACTCATGGTTTGGAGGATGCTTTCTTTATGTCATTTCTTGCCACCTTGGACATGACATCCCTGAGGACAGGAACCTTGCCCGCCCAATTCCCACCATCATCCTACTGTCACATGACCTGGCACACAGTTGAAAGGACACTCTAGTCCCAACAAGAGCATGTGACCCTTTGTTTGAAGGTCCTAGGGCTGAATGATGATGTTGGGCCCCGAGAAGCCTCAGCCTGGTAGGATGGAGACAGGCCCAGGAAGGCAGAGCGGGAAGAGAGTGTTACAGGCAGGAAGTTCATAAAGCCCGTGTTTATAGATCAGGATCCCTTGAGCTGAGCTGAGGATGGCAAGGAGGCAGCAATACCAACAGTCTGGGAGGGCAACCGATTGGACAGACCCAACTGTGATATCTGTCTCTCTGCCCACAGGCCAGGACTCTGCCAGTCCCATCCGGACCACACACACGGGCCAGGTGCTGGGGAGTCTTGTCCATGTCAGGGGCGCCGATACCGGGATCCACACCTTCCTGGGAATTCCCTTTGCCAAGCCACCTCTAGGTCCGCTGCGATTTGCACCCCCTGAGCCCCCTGAATCTTGGAGTGGTGTGAGAGATGGAACCACCCATCCGGATGTGTAAGCTCTCCCAGGGGTCCAGGGAACTCCAAGCCCTGGGGCAGGGGTGGAGGTACTCTGAGATCAGCTAGGCTGCAATTGTCATGTCACCTAAACCTCCACAGCCAGTTTTCCTTCTGAGTTCCGTGGATCCCCACGTGCATTTTTCCAATGAGTATGCTGAGGCTCGGGAGGGTGAATAACTTCTCAGACTCCTGGCTCAAGGCTTGGCATTTGGGAGGCATTGGCTCCAGGTGCTGAAGGGAGGGGCAGAGACACAGATCTCCCCAGATTCTGCTTATGCCAAGCTTTCTGTGCCACCAGGGGCAGGTGTCTCTGGGAAAGTTGCGATGTAGCTCTATGAACCTTGTAGGAGCCCCTAACTCTAGTGGCAGATGTTGCAAATAGCTGAAGAGAACAGTAGTGGTAGCTTCCTTGGGACCCGCACTCTCCACAGTCACTGTGTCCACCGACTGGGCCAGGAGCCATTGGCCAAGAGACGTGTATATTTTTCCAACTGGAGGCCATGTGGGAATGATGAGTTTTTGAGAGTTTAGACTTGGGATGAAAGACATCCCACTGCCCTTCTCATGAGAAATTAACATCCATTCACTCATGTAGCACACATGTGTGGGCTACTCCCCTGTCCCAGGCCTGAGCGGGTACAGCGATATAGTGGTGAATGTCAACACATGCAGCCAATGGTTCTCAGAGAAACCCCTGAGAGTCAAGGTTTCCGGTGTCGGGAGGAATGATACCCAAGGTCCTCAATGACCTCGAGACCTCCCTGGAAGTCCAAGCTCCATCCCAGCTTCCCCAGAGCCTGTGGCCTATAACTTGGTGGGAAGGGATTTTTGAGAGGGATCATGTGTGGGCAGGGTATTGTGAGAGGGGCTGAGGGTGGTTGGGGGCACATCTGAATCCAGGGTCTGGTTTTGGCCGTGATGCGGCCGCTGGACTGATTGTTTGCTCGGGTTACCAGGTGTCTTCAGGACCTCACCATAACGGATTCCGAGGTTCAGAGCCAAGTCAATGTGACCATCCCTTCCGTCTCCATGTCTGAGGACTGCCTGTACCTCAGCATCTACACGCCGGCCTACAGCCACGAAGGCTCTAACCTACCGGTGGGTGTCAGACCGTAGTTCACTGGGAGTTGGAGGACAGTTCTGCAAGAAGCTGGAAAGGACAATATTAGCTCAGGCCCTGCTGCAGAGGGGAGCATACTGAGAAGCTTCTCACTGTCAGGTCCAAGAAATGCTCCTTACCCAGGCTGGGCAGCTGGCCCCCGGACATGGGGTCACAGAGTTCTGGCTGCTGCCAGAGGTCAAAGGCTGTGGCTCTAGGCTGGACCCAGGACTCACCCAGCCAACTCACACCCAGGACATCCACTCAAGTGCCCAAGGGCTGCACCTTGAGGTTACCAAGAATCCCAGCCATGGATAATCTGTTGGGCCTATGAGAATGGGCACACATAAAATTTTTTTTGTTAGATGTGGCATCATGCTCTGTTTCCCAGGCTAGAATGCAGTGGCATGAACGTAGCTCTCTGTAGCCTCGAATTCCTGGACGATCCTCCCATCTCAGCCTCCCGAGTAGCTGGGACTGCAGGCCTATGCCACCATGCCTGGCTAATTTTTAAAACATTTTCTGTTGAAAGGGGGTCTAACTATGTGGTTCAGGCTAAGGACATTTTTGATTAATGTTCATGTGGAGCTGTCAGGGAGACACCCCTTTTCTTTCCACTTTGGTGAGTTTTCTGGGACAAATGAAACCAGGCTTTGATACGAGAGGTCAATCCAAAAGATGTGAGGCCTAGTCTTCCTGATAGATCCTGGGTACCTAGTCTGTGACTCACGTAATGAATTTGTGCTGGAGTTCTAATGGGGAGGTATGCAGAGGCAAAGCACTGGTTGGTCTAGGTAGTGGCCCTGGCGGGGTTCTGGCTGGGTAGGAGCATCGTGGTAGCTGCCTTGATTTCCCCAGGTGATGGTGTGGATCCACGGTGGTGGGCTTGCTTTTGGCATGGCTTCCATGTATGATGGTTCCATGCTGGCCGCCTTTGAGCACGTGGTGGTAGTCACCATCCAGTACCGCCTGGGTGTCCTGGGCTTCTTCAGGTGAGACTGAGGCTGGGCTGGGCCATAGGGGCTGAGCGGGGCCAGGACAGCCCTGTGATCCCTGTCCCTGCTACTTCTCAGCACTGGAGACAAGCATGCAACTGGCAACTGGGGCTATCTGGACCAAGTGGCCGCACTACGCTGGGTCCGACAGAATATCGCCCACTTTGGAGGCAACCCTGACCGTGTCACCATTTTTGGCGAGTCTGCGGGTGGCACAAGTGTGTCTTCGCTTGTTGTGTCCCCCATGTCCCAAGGACTCTTCCATGGGGCCATCATGGAGAGTGGCGTGGCCCTCATGCCCTGCCTCATTGCCAGCTCAGCAGATGTTATCTCCACGGTGAGTGCCCTCAGCTGTGGAGGCCTAGGCCTGCTACCTCCCCTTCTGTCTGTTAAGTGGGGATGACAAGGGCCATCGGGGAGCATGCCCCAGGAGCTGCCACCTACCTTGGAATTGTTGGGGTGCTCCAGGGTCAGAATGCACATCCTTCTGCCATTGCAGAGGCCAAGTTTGTTCTGTGGCCTCTGTGCAAAGTTGGCACCCTAGGGATCCCCATCATGAGGAGAACCATCTAGGCAGATGGGATGGCTCCTATGTCTGCGACTTCTGAGTGGGAACAGTGTCAGAACTGCAGGAATTCATACGCAGTACCCTGTGAGATTTGGGGTGTCCCTGTTCTTGGCCAGGGCCTTGGGCAAACTCCTCTTCTCTACTCGGAAGGATGAGCCGGCGCCTGCCTGGTCCCTTTGCAGGTGGTGGCCAATCTGTCAGCCTGTGGCCAAGTTGACTCTGAGGCCCTAGTGGGCTGCCTGAGGGGCAAGAGTAAAGAGGAGATTCTTGCAATTAACAAGGTTGGTCTAAATGGATGTGGGTGTAGAGGAAGGGGTGCAAGAGACATGGGGCTGGCAGGTCTGCATGGTCCTCATATTCCCTGGGCACATTACCTTATTTGCCTGCCTGGGTATCATAGCCCTGGGTGGAGACTGAAGGTTGGTGCATGCCCGAGCCAGGCATTGATTGGATATGAGCATCCGGGGATGAACCGGGAAGGAGTGGAAGGTACTCAGAAGGCATTGGAAGATGTCTGGGACCCAACCTTCTTCCCTGACCTTGCATTTCCCCTCAGCCTTTCAACATGATGATCCCCGGAGTGGTGGATGGGATCTTCCTGCCCAGGCACCCCCAGGAGCTGCTGGCCTCTGCTGAGTTTCAACCTGTCCCCAGCATCATTGGTGTCAACAATGATGAATTCGGCTGGATCAACCCCAGTGTGAGGCCCAACCCAAGCCCTCAAGTGCCTGGGGAGCCCATCTGGTAGTGGGGGGTGTTCAGGGCTTCATAGCTCCAGGCTCATCCCATCCCCAACTATAGACTCTCTCCCGGCCACCCAGGACACAAGTATCTATGACACTCAGAAGGAAATGGACAGAGAGGCCTTCCAGGCTGTTCTGCAAAAAATGTTAACGCTGATGGTAAGGCTCCTGGGGTCCCTCGCCAACGGAGAGGGGCTCCTCTCCTGTCCTGAGGCAGAGGAAATTCAGCCCCCAGATACCCTGCCTATGTAGTGACCCCCATGAGAAAAGGCCCGAGTGTGTGTGTGTTTGGGGGTGGGGTCACCTCAGAGCCATGCCTTTGCTCCCACTTCCTGCTCCATCTCACGGTCCATCTCCCCAAGCTCGAGGCCACTTCCTCCCTGCCCTTGGCATCCAGCCTAACCTGCCTCTTCCTGATCCACCTGGGGTAGATGTTGCCGCCTACATTTGGTGACCTGCTGATGGAGGAGTACATTGGGGACAATGGGGAGCCCCAGAACCTCCAAGCCCAGTTCCAGGAGATGATGGCAGACTCCATGTTCGTGCTCCCTGCACTCCAAGTAGCACATTTTCAGCGTGAGTATATTTGGACCTAAGGCCTGACTGGCAGGGGTACAGCTCAGGGCTGTGGGTACCAGGTGAGACCTGCTGCTATCCAGGTCCCCCCACTCATATTTATTGGGTTCCGCCGGCACTTGAGGTCCATCACTGCAGTAAATCCTCACGGCTAGCCCAAGAGACAGACATTTGCCCGTTTCACAGATGAGGAAATTGAAGTTAGGGACCTTCAGTGACTTGCCCAAGATGATACAGCTAAGAAGTCCGAGGCCATGATTTATCCCGTCTCTTCCTCTGCTCCTGCCCCAGCCTGGGGCTCCACACCCCACTGTCCAGATTCCAGCCATCATTGGACCTAGGTATCTTATCACCATGGGTGAGGCAAGAAGGCTTCAGGGGAGGGGCCCCTGTGTCACGGGCTACCCACCCCACAGGTTCCCGGGCCCCTGTGTACTTCTATGAGTTCCAGCATCAGCCCAGCTGGGTCAAGAATATCAGGCCGCCGCACGTGAAGGCAAACCATGGTGATGAGCTTCCTTTTGTTTTTGGAAATTTCTTCTGGGGCAACTACGGTGAGTCTTCTTCCTTTCCCGGGAGGTGGGCTGGGTCCCTGGCTGGGTCCCTGAGGGGTGATTGATTGTCCTCACTGCCCAGATAAGGAAACTGAGGCTCAGAGACAGGATGAGATCAGGCGTCCAAGATTTTACAGCTCCAAAGGCTCTGCCAGGATTAGAATTCATGACCCTTCAGACTGTGGCCTGTGCTCCCTCCGTCCCTCCCCACCTTTGGGTGTCTGCCTGGTGCAGAGCAGGTTTTCAGGACGTTTGTTTCTTCAATGACTGCCAGTGACAGAAGGGAGAAGGGGCCTTCAGGGCCAGGAAGGATGGAGTCAGCCAGAGCCTGGGCTAAGGGGAAAGGTTGGAAAAGGGGAGGACTGGCTTCTGAGGGCAGTGGGAGAAAAAGCAGAGAAGCGGGACTGGGGACCAAGGGCTGGGGGGCCATGGACAAGCTCCACCTGGGATGCTGAGGTGGGACATCCTGACCAAGACACATGTCCCCTTCCTCTCTGCAGTTAAATTCACTGAGGAGGAGGAGCGGCTAAGCAGGAAGACGATGAAGTACTGGGCCAACTTTGCTCGAAACGGGTGAGACGGCACACTCCTGCCTCAACCTCCCCGGGTTGGGGGGATTGTGCCCATCCAGCAATCTCCTAGTCTGGGGTGACCTCATGAGCACACTTGCATCTGAATCACGTGATAGCCTTTTCCCCAGCTCCGGGACCCACTTGGACAGGGTGATGGTGCCGTGGGACAGTGGACACGCTCCATCTCCCCGCTCTACCTGGAGGGTGGGCACCAGTGCTGTGCCACCGTCAGGGTCTCCCTCTCAGAGAGATGGACACATCA